AGGAAATATGTATATTTATATATATTTATATATATAAATAGGAGGGAAATCAAATAAAGACAGAGTGTGGACTAAATATTTCACAGGGCATTACATTGTCTTAAATTTATAAATATATTTAAAGCAAAAATAGTTGAAATGATAAAAGGGTACTACACTAAACAGCATACAATCTCCTCTTTGAAAGTCTTTGAGTCTGCAGAGCCACAGGCCCAGCTTATCCTAAAATGTAAATTACAAAAAAAAAAAGTATGAATATGTGGTTAAAGGATAGTTATGAAAGCATTGTTTCCAAGAGAAAAAAGAAAAATCACAAATGATCTAAATACTTAATAGAGGACCTATTAAATAACTAATGGTGCATCCTTCCACTAGAATTCTGCACAGACATTAAAAATGATGTAGAATATGGAAAAATTTATATGGATATTGTTCCATTTGGAAAGCAGGTTACAAAACAGCAATATTAGTTCACTTTTGGAAAAGATTTTGGGTACCTGTTATGCTTTCAAAAATATATACGTTTTTGAATATTGAGAAGTCCAGAGACTAATAAAAAATATTACAGATTGTGATCAATTGTTTTGGAGTTTGAATTTCAAGTGATTTAATAGTTCATCTTTTACTCAACTAATTTTTATTTAAAATGTGTATTCCTTGTTGTGGGTCCCAGGTCTGGTTGTGATCCAGGCTCACAGCTAGGGATAGGACTCCGAATTTATAATGTTACATTAATGTAGTAGGGCACCTGCACCTAACTTAAGTAAGTACGACTCAGCTTATTGTATTACGCATGTGTGGCAGAATGCCACTATTGTTCTCTGACCTATATAAAGCCCATGTGGTCCCCTAGCACAGAAGCACTTGCTCCCAGCAGTAAAGTTGGTGCCTGTCACTTCATTATCATGTCGGCTCCTCGTGCTTTCTTTCAACTGGGCGTCTCACCATCGAAACCTTCCCTTCTTAATCAGCTTGAAGTGGATACGTGGCATAGTTGGCAGGATGAAGT